ATTTTCATTTTCAATTGCAGTTGACATACAGTATTATATTAGTTTTAGGTGTATATCACAGAGTTTAAATATTTTTATAATTTACAAAGTGATCACCACAATAAATCCAGTACCAGTCTGACACCATATATAGTTATTGTAATACTAGTGATTATATTCCATATGCTACACTCTACATCCCCATGACTCTTTTGCAACTATCAATGTGTACCTCTTAATCCCCTTTCCTGTTCACCCAGTTTCCAACTTTCCAATTTAACAATCATCAAAATGCTCTACATATCTATTAGTTTGTTTCTGTTTGGTTTGTTCATTTATTCTGTTCTCTAGAATCCACATATAGTTGAAATCATATGGCATTTTTCTTTCTCTGCCTGACTGACTCCACTCAGCCCAAGATCCTCTAGGTTCATCCTTATTGTTGCAGATGGCAATATTTCATTCTTTTTTTCTGACTATGTAATATTCCATTTAATATATGTACCATCTCTTCTTTATCCATTTAGCCACTGATAGACACCCAGGTTGCCTCCATATCTTGGCCATTGTAAATAATGTTGCAGTGAACATATGGATGCACATTTCTTTTTGAAGTAATGTTTTGGGTTTCTTCAAATAAATACCCAGAAGTGGGATGACTGGCTCCTTCTTTGTCTGTTGTTATAGCCTTTGTTTGAAAGTCTGTTTTGTCTGGTATAAGTATTGCCACTCCAGCTTTTTATTTTCCTTCTTTTTCTTCATTTTCATTTTCAACTTTTTCAACCTCTTTACTTTTGGTCTATGTATCTTTTGATCTGAAGTATGTCATTTGTAGGCAGCACATGTAAGGGTCTTGTTGTCTCCTTTAATCAGTCACCCTATGTTGTTTGATTGGAGCCTTTTAATCCATTTCATTTAAATTTTTGGTAGATATGTAGTTATTGCCATTTTATTATTCATATTTTTTTCATTTTCTTCTTAAAGAAGTTCCTTTAACATTTCTTGTCATACTGGTTTGGTGGTGATCAATTGTTTTCACTTTTTCTCGTCTGGGAAACTCTTCATCTGTCCTTCAATTCTAAATGATAGCTTTGCTGGGTGAAGTAAGGTTGTAGCTCCTTGCTTTTCATCAATTTGAATATTTTGTGCCATTCCCTTCTGACCTACAAAATTTCTGTTGAGAAATCAACTGGCAATTTTATGGGAGCTCCCTTGAGGTAATAAACTGCTTTTCTCTTGCTGCTTTTAAGATATTCTCTTTGTGTTTAACCTGTGGCATTTTAATTATGGTGTGTTTTAGTGTAGGTCTCTTTGGGGTCATCTTGTTTGGGACTCTGTGATTCCTGGGCTTGCATGTCTATTTCCTTCATCAGGGCATTACTTCAAATAGGTTTTCAATTCCTTGCTCTCTCTCTCTTTCTTCTGTTACCCTCATGATGCGAATGTTGGTATACTTGATGGTGTCCCAGAGGCCCTTTAAACTATCCTCATATTTTTGGTTTCCTTTTTTCTTTTTGCTATTCTGCTACCTTATCTTCTAAGTCACCGATTTGGTCCTCGGCTTCATCTAATCTACTCTTGATTCCCTCTAATGATTTCTTCATTTCAGTTATTGCATTCTTCATTTCTGACTGGTTCTTTTTTATGTCTTTTATCCTTATTTTTATGCTTCCTATCTCTTTGTTGAAGTTCTCCTTGAGATCATTGAGCATCCTTATAACTAGCGTTTTGAACTCTGGACCTGGTTGATTGCTTATGTCCATTTTGTTTAGTTCTTTTCCTCATTTGGGATATGTTTCTTCATCTCCCCATTTTGACTGCCTCCCTCTGTTTGTTTCTATGTATTAGGTAGGGCTGCTATGTCTCCCAATCTTAGTGGAGTGACCTTATTTAGTAGGTGTCCTGTGGGGTCCATTGGTGCAATCTACCTGGTCACCTGAGCCAGGTGCTTCAGGTGTGTCCCTTGTGTGGGCTCTCCTGTTTTAGTTGAACCTTGATTGCTGGTTGCATGTCAGTGGAAGTGATTGACTATTGGGCTGATTGGCTGTGAGGACCAGCCCTGACAACAGTGGAGGAGCTGCTATGCAGGGACTGAACCTGGGAAGTAGGATTTCTATAGCAGGGCTCTGGTACTGCCTAGCCTCTCCTTTGGGTGTGCCTTTTGTGGAGGTGGTTGGGTGGTGTTCTTGATGTGGTCCAAGCTGACCACAGGTGTATTAGTTGTAATTTTGATGTGGTCATGAGAGGAAGCAAGCACAGCATTTACCTATTTTGCCATCTTACCAGAACTCCCAACTCCATTCCCTTTTTATTTTTCTTTGACCTATGGTTTAATAGACTTGCAATTATTGATTTCCAAGCATAGGAGGAGTTTCTGGTTTCTCGTCCCCTCCCACTTTTTTAACTCCTGGACCCTAATTTGTATAGCCACTTAATCTTTGAAGGCTTTTAAAAGCATTGCTCAGCTTATCAGTCTTTTGGCTTCCTCATATTAAATTGGCATTTATCCCTCGGGGAAAAGTACTCCTAAAAATCAAGTCACATTTCTGAATTATCTTCTCCAAGATCTTGGTCTTTCATCTTCTACTGCTCTCAAATGCATTAGATATTCAATTTTTATAGATGCTGTCAGCTGAAGGATTGTTTTGAATTACCAGAATTGGAAGTCAAGACTCCCATTGCTCAACATTTTATTTGGATTCTACAAGAATATTTGAATATGCAAGTTGCAGATTTTGTGCCATAGATGAAGAAAGCTCAACAACTATTCTTTCATATGGATTGTAAGAGCTCTAGTAAAGATTAAAGACTACAGAAACAAACCTTCAATTATCTTTTCACTCATTAATTTCTTGTTCCAAATTTTTACACTTATTTGCATCTTACAGTCTTTAGATATCAACTTATTCATATTTTATTATTATTATTTTCAATTAGTCATTTTGTCCAGGAAGTCCTCATGTAGATTTAAAAGTTAATATTTTCTTTTGCATTTCTTTTGAAAGCTTAGTGAATATTTTCTTTGCTTTTCATCTGAAGCCAGAGTATCTGATATGGGTTATAACTACTTTTGAAAAATGTATTCCACATATCACAGGCTAGCCTGTTCTGAGTATATTACATCAGGAAATAGCTCAGGACATAACCAAAGGGTATGTTTGCACTGACTGAAAATTTAGATTGTCTATTATACTATGAGAATTAATGGTTGGCATAAAAAGCTGCCTGACATTATAATTAATTGAATGCTGTTAAGTCATTTACACACTGATGGACCTATGCAAATCTAGTATTATATCACTGATTTATTTCTACTCCTAGCATGAGCCTAATTTCTTTTAGAAGAACTATTAGTTTTATATAAAAAATATTCATTCATCAAGTATTTACCCACTTAATATGGGACAGAAACTGTTCCTATATCAGAAGCTATATTCTAAGGGAGAAAAATAAACAAAAATATATAAAACATGGTAAATGATGATTAACGAAAGATAAAAGGATGAGGACTTTAGGGACATGGGTATTGTTTTAGATAGGGTGCTGACAAAGAAGAAGCATCATCTGAGGAGAAGCTTGAATAAAGTGAAGTAAAAAGTCATTTCTAAATTAAAGAGAGGAGAATTTCAGGCATAAAAAATTGCAAGTACAAAAGCCCTAAGACAGAAACCAGCATAAAAGAAGTTGTAAGAAGGCCATTTAGAGAGTGGAAGGTGATAGATAGGTCAGGAAGTTGACCTGGGATTAGTTCATGTAGAACCTGGTATGCCTTGGTACAAATTTTGGATTTTTTTTCCCCCCAAGAGTATTGAGAACCCACTAGAAGTTTTGGTCAGGGGAATATTGCAATCTCATTCTCATTTTTAAAACACACTGTGGCGATAAAATTAGGAGTGATACAGCCCATGGTGAAAACAGGTAAACCATTTAAGTGGTTTAGTAATAGAGTGAAAGAAGATGTGACAGCACTAGAATTGATGAGATGGTTTGGAGTTTGGTGGTGTGTAGTTTGAAGGTAAAGGTGACAGACAGGACTTGCTACTGGATGGGATGTTGGAAAATTCCAAAGTATTTGGTCTGAGAAATAGAGTGAAGAGTTCCCTGAAATAGTATGGACTGAGGTAAAAATAAAGTGTTTTGTTTTAAATAGGATAAATCTGAGATGCCTATTAGATTCCAAATGGAAATCATGTAAGCATTTATCTGTAGCTTTCTGTTGGGTTGTCGGAAAAGTCATGATGTTTTCTTTCTATGTTTTTCATTGCAAAAATGTGTCATGACTTTTCTGACAAAGCAATAGAAAGAATGCAGTTTGAAATGTAAATCTTGAGAGTTATCAAAGTGTACTGTAGATGATATTCAAAGTCAGGAGACTTCAGATTAGTTGTGGTAGGAATGTGGATGGAGAACAGAAGCAATCTAGAGATTAAGGTCAAGGTCACTCCAACATTTAGAGAACTGAGAGGAAGATTCTACAACAAGATTGCAAATAGTGGCTAGGCAATTAGGAGTAAAACATAGCATGTAATGATGCTGAAGCCAATGGTAATATGTATGTTCCTAAGATAATTAATAACCCATGATTCTAGGTAATTTAACCCAAAATAGTCTTCAATATAACTGTTTGAGTTAGAAACCTAAAAAGCTATGTTAAACACAAGCCTAATATAGTATCAGTATCACCCAAATAGTGAATAATTAAGCTCTTGGAAACAAAGTAGTTATGTGGTTATAATAAAATGGTAATTAATTCTATGGTTGAACAAAAAAAGTGGAAAAGACATCATTTAAACATATTACACTAATGTTTAGCATGCTTCTTTTTGACTGGGTCTTACATTCTCATAAAAGAATTAAATATGAAGTAATGAATGTAAGCAAATTACAGAGATCTATGCTGATGTTATAAACAAAAGATTTCTTACTCCTTAAGAGTTAAGTTGGTTTTGACTGTATATGACCTCAGAATGCTCAATCAACGCTTGTTAATGTTCTTTTATTCTCTTTGCTTCTTTCCACAGGTGGGGAGGTCCCATACACAACTCTGGCTACCCGAATGATGATGGGGGCTTGGTGGCTATTTGCTTTGATTGTCATCTCATCTTATACAGCAAACCTTGCTGCTTTCCTTACTATCACCCGCATTGAAAGCTCCATCCAGTAAGTAGATGAGATTCCAGTAGCCACAAAGTATGAGAAATGACAGGAGTGGCTAAAGCTATTTAAATAAGCATATGATTTCTGATAATAAATGTATAATTTCCTTTTGAGTAAAGGCTTAATTTAGGGATATGCAGATATCACAGGATATTCCAACTCCTGAACATATAATATTGGTAGAACACTTTTTTATAAAATGAAATTCTGGGGATAATTTGAACATTGCTTCCTACATTTTCCTGGAAGGATAGCACATATTCAGGATTTTAACCTCCACAATGTATGGGCAATATTGTAAAAAGGAAGGAAAAGGAGCCATACTAACACATACATATTTCAGGTTTGACACGTTCAGTCTTTGCCTTGAGTCTGTCCCATTATGCACTGAACAAACGGATAGACATCAATGACTGATTGATAGATAGATGATAGGTAAGGAGAGAAAGAGGAAGGGAAGGAGGGAGGGAGGGAGAGAGAGAGAAAGAGAGAGAGAGAGAGAGAGAGAGAGAGAGAGAGAGAGAGAGAGAGAGAAGCTATCAGGAGCTAAAACCAGGTAAAACCAGGTTCTATTTGTCTCCTCACTACATTATAGCTATTGTGGTTATTACAGCTGCTGTTTTTCCAGCTGTAATGATGGTCAATTGTCATTAACTGTGGTGTACTTCCTCAAATCCTAAAAGTTACCTAAGTCAGTGACTCAATTCACAGACACCATTCACATGAGCCCTGAGAGCAAAAGGCCTTTGATTTACCATGACCAGTTTTGCTTTTGTGGTCTCATGTCATAATCAGCACCACAACACAACTTTTGCCTTATTAGAACATAATATTCTGTGTATTGTTTTAACAAAACTTTCCGTGAAAATGTTTTATTCATCCAAATACAAGGTAGTATGAATTTTCCTAAAGTTGAAGAACATTTATTTTCAACAAAACTGACAGTTCAAAATTAGAATAATTAGCTTTGTCAATTCATTAGGGATTTAATTCATTCTTAACAGAGAATGTAAGATTTTTTCTTGCCTTTAAAAATATGTAAAGAAGTCTATTAGTAGCCACAAACTATTATATTACAATGTAATACCAAAAATAAAATAAAAAATATTGATCTATCAAGAAGTAAGGTATTTTTTTCCATTGTGTGTGGTATACACATTGAAACCCCAAAATTCAGCAGATACTCAATTATTTCATCCATTTATGAAAATGATGTTTCCAACTTTTCTCATCAAATTATGCTCCCCGAGTTGTATCCCCAAGTATATTTTGGTGTAAGATCTTCATATCTTCTCAGCTTATTACCCTTATAGCCAGTTCTATGTGTGGCATTAGTTATAAATGGTGTAGAGTAAAGCTCATGGAAAGCTTAAACCAATAAGCCCATCAGAATCATATATTAAGCAATAATGAAAATGATTACAACTGCCCAACTAGGAAATCAATGAAATTAGTAAAATTATGAAAATAGTAATTAATATTTATTGAGCACTCACAAGATGCCAGACTTTGTGCTACATGTTTGACATGATTTGGCTTATTTCATATTTACAAGCTACTTCTGAAATATATACTATGAATAACCCATTTTATAGCTAAAGTTGAAAAGATAAGTAACTTGCTCCAAATCAAGCAGCTAATAAGTGATTAATTAAAGACCAGGCTTTAAATCTTTCTGCTTCTTGAGCCTAGGTTCTAACTGCACCCCACCAGTTCCCATTCCACACCCTTGTACTTTTGTATGGCCTGTGTTTTTAGAGAATATAATGAAAGACAGGTCATAGCCTTATTCATTGCTAAGTATAAGGATGTAAAGGATGACATTCTTTAAATCCTCAAGTGGCCTGAGGAAATAAAGCATCAAAAGTAAAGAGATTTTTGTATTAGGCCAATTCTGTAGGCATACATCCTAACATAAGCAGATTATATTTATAACTGATATCTGCCAGTCAGGGTAAGACTGCTTGGAAGGTCCAATCAATAGAAATCACACTAAGAATGATAGTTTTAAAAATTAAAAGGGAATATTTTATCTGACCAATATATTACACTTCTTATCAATTATGTTTAACTTGTCACATTTTGAGTGTACGTAAAGCTAATAGCTTGTGTAGCTGAGATCTGACTTTGAAGCATTTTTAATAAATAATTGAAGAGAATTTTAAATAAAATAACTGATTTTATACGCTAAATGATAACAAAAATCATAATAATCAACAAAACATGGCTAATATTCACTGAGAATTTTTTATGATTTATTAAACATATTACATATTTTATCTCATTGAATCCTCAAAATAACCATAATAATACAGATACAGGAACAAAAATCTGAAAGTTAAATGCTCAAGATTATATAGTCAACAATGTCAGAACTGGAAACCTAACCCATATCAATCTGCTACTAATCCATGACTTTACCTACTGAAGTTTTTCCTTATCTAGTAGTGATTCTTACAATTTGCCTGCTTGAGCTACTGTTTCGCTGAGGTTGCAGACCTCATGGCGTGTGTGTATGTGAGCTGTTTAGTCATTACTAACTGTGCCAGCATTAGTTTGTTTTGTATCTAGACGTTCATGCAATGGCAGTAGGAGCAAAAGCCTCTATCGAATTTTTACACCAATGAGGTATCTCTAAAAGTAAAATCTAGTGAAAAAAGATGATAATTTTACATGATATTTTCCTCAAGTATAGTTCCATAGTCCAAAATAACTGAATATTCCCTTTTTTAAGAATTTATTTCTTCCTGATGCCAACTCATTAAAGTCAACAGTGGGTATAGTAAATCTCCCCTTCCTTCTAATCTTATCACTAGACTAATTTTGAAAGGAAAAACTGAGAGTCAAATAAGTTAAAAGAAACCTGATTCTCTTCCCAAAAATAAAGAAATCTTCTAATTTCATGCCTCAGCTGTGTTAGTAAACATAATTGCTTTCAATGTTTCTTGGAAACATTCAAAATTTCATTTGCAAATAATGTGAAAATTTCTTGGGAAGTTCTGTCTGATTTTTCTTAGCAAATACAAAAACCTTGATATATATATATATATATATATATATATATATATATATATATATATATATATATATAT